AGCGGGGTCTGCGGGGCATCCCCAGCGCCTGACCTCTTCCCCCTCGGCCTTGCAGTGAGGGGCTGTCCCGGCGGGGACACGCATCCTGAATGGGGCTGAGGCCCCCTGCGCGGGAATATGCAGCCTCGGAGCCGCGGGGGCAGCACCGGGGCAGCGGCCGGCGCGCGGCGGCGGCATGGTGGCGACCTTCAAGATCGCCGTGCTGGGAGCCCAGGGCGTGGGCAAGAGCGCCATAGTCCGGCAGTTCCTCTACAACGAGTTCAGCGAGGTCTGCGTGCCCACCACGGCCCGCCGCGTCTACCTGCCCGCCGTCGTGATGAACGGCCACGTCCACGACCTGCAGATCATGGACTTCCCCCCCATCAGCGCCTTCCCCGTCAACACGCTGCAGGTAGGGGCGCCGGGGGGAGAGCCGAGCGAGCGAGCCCCTGCTCGGGGTTTGGCTTACCTAAACGCCGAGGACGGCGGCTTCAGAGCGGCAGGATGGGATGAGGTGGTTGGTTTTGTTGTTTTTTTTTAATTTATTTTTATTTTTTTTAATTTATTTTTTTATTGCAGCTTAATCGCCTAAAATGATTTCCAGCCCTGGAGGGGCGCTTTCCCACCCTGTTTCCCACCCGATGGGGTGCCCGTGGCTCCGCTGGGTCTCCTCGTCCATCTGGGTGCTGGGGCAGGGCACTGGGATCCGTTCCCATCGCTGTCCTGGGCCAGCAAAGGGCTCGGGGAGCGCGGCCAAAACCCTTGGGTGAAAATCTCAGGCGTCCCGGAGAGCCAAAGCACGGTGCACCCATTGCCTGAAGGCCACCCCTGTTGTGGGTTTGGGGTTTTGCTGTGTTCCTCTGGGGTTCCTCTAAGCCTGCTCCTCTTTTCCCTATGGGAAAGGCCGTTTTCCTCTCTATGGGCTCGTGTTTACCCCAGTGAGGGGTTCCTTACACCCCTCACCCCGCAGCGGTGCCTGGATCGATCCCAGCAGCGCCGACCCTGCCAGCTGCTCCCCAGCCCCGCAGCTGCCACCACCACCGCCTGCGGGGTCCGGTGGGGAAAAAGGGGATTTTAACCCCGTGCCGCTGGCAGGGACGGGCTGTCCTGTATTTTTAATCAGTGTAATTACACCGCTCCTGCTCCCTGTGGGGACAGGGGTCAGGGGGGCTCTGCAGGGGCTCCGCGCTTGCCCGAAGCTGCGGGGCAGGAGGTGAAGGGAGCGCTGGGGGGGGGGGGGTTAAAAATTAAACGGCGTGTGCAGGGAACGAAAGGTCAGCGAGAGACACGGCCCGAAATAGCAAAGGGTAATTTATTGGCATGGCAGACGACGCTCACATACTCAATTAACTCCGTGCCTCGCTGTGCGCAAGGGGAGGCGGGCGGTGGGAACAGATGGAGGCTTCCAGGGCAGGGGCTGCTCCGAGGGGCTCCCGGAGGGGAAGGGGGCACCACGGCGGGGGCAGACAGCGGCCGGGGCTGCTGGAGGCATCGCTGGGCTCCGCTCCTTGCCCAGGAGCAGCTTCCCCGCGGAGATGGATTGGGAGAGGAGCACGGCCCCAGCTCCCCGATGTCCCACTCTGGCCTCGAGCATCCCCAGGAATCCACACGTGGATCTCTCCGCGATTTCCTCCGGTCCTCGGTTTCATTTAGCCTCGTTCCCGGAGATCATAAACCCAGGAGGGACGATTCACCATGTGCTCGGGCTTTGCCTGGGGAGCCTCGGTGCCTGTCCTGCTCCGTGCGCTCCTCTCCTTCCCGGCCCAACCTCGGGAGGGATCCTCGCGGAGCCGCCCGCACGCGCGGTAACCCCGGCTCACAGCACCCTCACCACAGCCCAGAGGCACCCCCCAGAACATAACCCCATGGACACCTCGGGGGGAGATGGCTCCATCCCACAGCGGGGACGTGCTGGGGATCCACTGGGATCCACCGCATGGGATCCACTGGGAAGTGGGGACGGGCTGCACTGGGGACGCTGTGCTTTGGGGCCGGTTACTGGTGCCACTTGTCCTCAGCAAACCCCGCTCCCGAGCAGGCCGCTGCTCCCTGCCTGTCCCCAGGTCCCCTTTGCTGTCACCTTCCTGCTGCCACCTGCGGTGCTGCAGAGCTGCTGGCCTGGGACCCCGCAGCCTCCCCTGCCCCAAACCTGGGCTCCATCACCCCGAAACAGCCCAACGAGCAGCTCTGGAGGGGGGGAGCTTTACACCCAGGCTTTCAGCCCCCTTCCCCCAGCCCCATTAAGGCTGCCCCTGGGTGGAGGTGCAGAGAAAGGCTTAAATCCTTTAACGCTCCCATCCAGGACCCCACACACCTGCGACGTGCCCAGGGGCCGGATCCTACAAACATCTTTCCCCCTACAAACGCGTCCGGCCCCCAGGCGGTGTGGGGCGACCCCCGGGGCACGCCAGGATTGATCCCTCTCTGCACCTTGCAGGAGTGGGCGGACGTGTGTTGCAGGGGGCTCCGGAGCGTCCATGCCTACATCCTGGTCTATGACATCTGTTGCTTTGACAGCTTCGAGTACATCAAAACCATCCGCCAGCAGATCCTGGAGACGAGGTAGGGGCCGTTCGCCGGCGGGGGCATGCCAAGAGTGGGGGGGTATCGTGGTGGGGATGGGATCCTATAACCCCCTGCTGAGCCCCTTCCATCCCGGGGCAGATATTCCTGGGGAAAACACCTTGGGGTGACACGGGGCCCCCTTGGTGGCCACGGAGAGGGACAAGGGGACAGGACGGGAGGTGGCACAGCTCTCTCACGGCGTGCCCAGGTGCCGGGTAGGGTTGGGGCTGGGTTGTGGCTCCGTGTCTCTGCCCTCCCTCACCTCCCTCACCGCCCCAGGGTCATCGGCACGTCGGAGACGCCCATCATCATCGTGGGCAACAAGCGGGACCTGCAGCGGGGCCGGGTGATCCCGCGCTGGAACGTCTCCAACCTGGTGAAGAAGACGTGGAAGTGCGGCTACATCGAGTGCTCGGCCAAGTACAACTGGCACATCCTGCTGCTCTTCAGCGAGCTCCTGAAGAGCGTGGGCTGCGCCCGCTGCAAGCACGTCCACACCACCATCCGCTTCCAGGGTGCCCTGCGCAGGAACCGATGCACCATCATGTGAGCCCCCCCGGACCCCCACGGACCCCTCCCCGGGGCCGTGTCCCCGCAGGACCCCCAGCCCTGCCGGGGTGATGCTCTGTTGGGAGCCGTGCTGGAGGCACCCCGGGCGTTGCTTCCCCTGCGGTGACACTTGGGGACACGGCGTGCACGGCACGGGGCCAGGGCAGGGCGATGCGGTGGCCTGCTGGGGGGTCGGGTCAGGCTGGGCCAGGTGGGGCCCGGAGGTGAGGGGTGAGGGAGGACCTCAGCTGGATCCTCGCTTCTCCGCACGAAGGAGCCGCTCGGGGAGAGCCCCACGGTGCCACCGACCTCAAATTCCCACCTCAGGGCTGAGCGCTGCCTCCCTGCGCCACCACGGCCCGAGCTGGTCACCTCCGTGGGCTCTTGCTGCTCTGTGCCTGAGCCGGGCAGCCTGGTTTGGTTCCCCTGCCCCAAAAAGTGCTATTCCCACCCCCACCAGCTCCCTTTCCTCAAGCCTCGTCCTCCCTGTATGCACCAGCCCCGCAGAGGCTTCGCCAGCCCCCGGGTTTTTAGGGCCAAAACAAAACGCTGGGCACAGCTCAGCACCCCCGACCCAAAACCCAGCATCCTGACCCAAAAGGCAGGGGTTCCTGGCTAGGCAGGTGGTGCTTCCAGGTGGATCCAACCCCTGCGGGGCTTTTCCCAGGGGAAGCTCGCGCCCATCCATCCATCCGAGACGGGGACGGTGCCCACACAAAGGCAGCCTCCGAAGCAATAGGGAGCTGGGGTTGCATTGCCACTTTTATTTCTTAATTCTGTGCACATTCCTAATAGGGAAAATGAGCCCCTCCTTCTTTTTTCTTTCTTTCTTTCTTCTTTTTAAATTAATCTTTTGGCTGGTTTCCGCTCCGGACTGCCAGCTCATCTGCAGCTTGTCCTGGAGCCCGGGAGGCAAAGCGCAGCCCGAGCTCGTAAATGGGGCCGGGTGCGAGGGGTGCAGGTCTGGGCTTTGTCCCCGTGTGACACAGGGACACTGTGAAACAGCCAACACCAAAAGCCCGCTGCCTCTTCCCACCGACAGGCTCCATTTCCCAGAACTGCTGCTGTCCTGGTAACTCTCGCTGTTAAGAGTCCTTCCCACTGAGCTCTAGCCCACTGCATCCAGCCTGGCCTCGCAGCCCGGCCATCGGTCGGTCCCCGCATCCCTGCTCCAGCCTTGCCGTCAGTCCCTGCTCCATCCCTACCATCAATTCCTGCTCCATCCCTGCTGCCCCCATCACCTGCTTTAGGAACCAAAACCCCATCCTCTTACCCCAAACAAAATAAGGAAAAAAAAAAAACGCACAGAAAAGTCGAGGGGAGTGCGCACAGGGCGCAGGGCTGGGGGAGAGCAGCTCCCATCCTCTCCATCCCTCACCTTCACGGCAAGCCCACCGTGCCGCGCCGCCGGCCCAGCCCCATCTCAGCAGGATTGATCAGCCCACGTTACCGGTCTCTCGCTAGCTTTACCCCTCCAAATTGTTTGAGAAGGAAACTCCTTGGTAAATGCTACCAATAAAGCATTTATACCGTGCTCCGACGTGCACATGTCAGCGACTAAGCCAATACATTGTTTGTTATAACCCTGTAGCCTGCAGTTTATAGCACAACTAGTTACAGGTTTTTATAGCATCTATTTAGTATTTTGGAAAAAAAAATGGTTATAAATATAATTGTTATATTCTATTGTACTTTATAGCCAGAAGTTATATTAGTATTAACAACCCTCCCTGCTCCGGCAGCAGTGCCCAGCTCCCGGACCACTGCCAGGAGAGCGGGATTGGGGCCGGGACCCCTGGCACAGCGGGGCTGGGGGCTGGGATGGCAGAGGATCAGTGCATCCCCTGACCCCTGCAGCACTTGGGATCAAACTGTCTTGCCCCCCTGCCCATAAATATGCCCTCATCCCAAAGTGTTACCGCTCTGCCACCACCTCCTCGTCCCGCTCTGTGTTTCCTCGCTCGGCTCTACGTCCACACAGAGATAACCTGCTGCCGAGCTGGGGGGAGGCTGAGGATGTCCCCAGCTGTCTCCAGGGGCAGAAAGGTGGAAAAAAATATATCGTTTTCTGCCCCGTGTGTGTGTGCTGAGCCAGGAGGTGTCACACAGCCCGAGGTGGGCTCGGTGCAGCCCCGATGAGGATGCTCGCCCTCTCCTCCTCCTGGAGGTGCATCACGGTTTCCAGGACCTGGCTCCCCTTTCCCCCTGGACTTCTCGTTGGAGATTCCCAAGGCGTCTCCACCTCCTGAAATGCCCTGCACCCCTTTACTTGAACCCGAATTAAAATCAGGTCTGTCCCCCTTGTTCTGTACCCGCCTCGCTGCTCCTTGCTCGTGGCGCCGGACCGCTCGCAGCCCCGCCGCGGCGCTGGAAGCCCCCTGGGGACACCGCGTTCCCCTTGGCAGGATCCTTGCCACCAGCAGGGCTCGCTGCCCACGGAACCGGTCACCGAGGACTTCTCCCTCCCTGCCCACACAGAAAAGCTGCTGGGAGAGAAGAGGCTTTGGTACAGCTCTTATTGCACAAGCACCGACCGCTGCCGCCGCCCCGTGCCACCCCTGCGGACGCGTCCTTGCCGGAGCAGCCTTAATGCAGGGGGGGCTGCTCCAAACCAGGGCCCGTGGGGAAACTGCCAGCAGAGCATCAGGAAAATCGTGTCATCGTGTCACCCTGCCCTGAGCTCAGCAGGCCGGTAGGGCTCTGCGTGCTGGAAGGCTCAGGCATCCTTGGTTCCATTGCGCAGATGGGGAAGACCGAGGCACGCAGTGGTGTCCCCAGAAGCAAACGCCTCGCGCTGCCTGCGCTGACCTCCCGGGGCTCAGCCCCCAATTTGGGCACCTGTGGCTCTCACAAGCAAGCGGTCCCCCAAAACCCAAGGGGTATGGGGTCAGACCCACGCCTCCTCATCGTCCTCGGTGAGCCAGGCGCCGCTGTCGGCTGGAGAGGGCTTGGCTTGTGGGGTGCGCGCCCCCAGGCTGCGGGCGTCGCGCCGGGGCTGGGGGGCGATGCTGGCCCCGGGCACGGGGCAGGCGCTGCCCCAGCGGGGTGGGGATGCGTGAGGGGCCCTTCCCGGGCCGGTGGTCCCGCCGGGGACGCACTTTGGGCCGCAGCTTCAGCTTGTAGATGGAGGGCACGCGCTCGGGTTTCTTCAGGCAGCGCCGGGGTTTCGGCAGGGTGGCTGCCCTCGTGCCCTGCGGGGTCTGGGCCCCCGCTGCCAGCTCCTCCGTGGTCCCCCCAGCTGGGAGGGTGGCACACTGCGGGGTGGCCATGGGGGGTTTTGGGGCCACCCAGCTCTCCATCTCCACAGGGCGCAGGGGCTGCCGGTTTTGGGAGAGCTCCTCCAGCACCCTGTCGTAGCCTGGGGGCTGTGAGTGTGCCCAGCACCCCTGGAGCCCCGAGCCCCCCCTGCCATGGCCACAGGTTCCCCCCGGTTCATCTGCTGGCACCCCGGGGCTCTCAGCATCCTTGGCTGGTGGGCTCGTGGCTGGGTGGCACCGCTGGGGCCCCTCCCCAGCAGCACAGCCCTTGCACCCGTTTGCAATAGGGGACAGAGGGGTCAGGGGCCGGCAGCCAGCCGGGCTGGCTTTGCTGGGGGGTTTAACACTTCTGTCCCCTTTTGGAGCTTGGCTCAAAGAGTTTTGGGGTGGTGCTGGATGGCCACGTCCACCGGCTGCCCGGATTCCCTTCCTGGGAGCTTTTCCTGCTCTGTGATGCCCCCCGGGCATCGCGGTGCGGGGAGGAAGAACTGACCTGACCTTGATGGGGCTGTGGGCACGGGGCACGGCGGCAGCAGGGACCCCTGCTTGCTGCAGCCTGGCAGCCCCCACGGACGAGTTCCCCCCTTGCTGGGTGGTTTTTGGAGGCAGCGGTGCCCGACTCTGGGCACTGGGGGCCCTGCCCCTGCCCTGTGCTGCTGCAGAACGGGGGGTCCCCAGGATACTCCCAGGTGGCACCTCGGGGACCCCCGCACTGCCCCGTGTGCCTGGGGCCCGCCGGGACGGGGTAGGTGCCCGCTGCGTGGCCCCACAGCCGGGGGTGCTGGGTCGAGCGGGGGACCTCGGCGGTGGCTCCCGTGTCCTACAAGGAGAGAGAGACAGAGGGGGGTGCACAGAGCCACCGCGTCCCCCTGCATCCAGGGATGGGACCAAAAGCACCCCAAAAAGTGGTGGTTTTGGGGTACGAAGCCGCTCTGCACCTCACCTGCCCGAAGGGACCCTCCGGGGCTGCGCTGGCTCCCGGTGAGGGCTGGCACCCGGCGAGGGGGTGGCAGGGGCGCAGAGGGCCGGAGCGGGGGGCCTGGGGGGCGCGGGGTCCCCATGCCGACGGGGGGCAGCGGGCTCTGCGAGCGGCTGACCAGCAGCGAGGGCTGCCCTGCGGCCGGGGGCCGGGGGGGCTTTGCAGAGCTGGACCTCGTGCTGCACCTGCTGGGGGGGCCTGCTCCGGGTGTGCTGCTTGTGAGCTGCGGGGGAAGACGGGGCTCAGCCACCGCCACCCCCTCCCCATCACCTTCACAGACCCCAACCCTGGGGAGGGGTTTCCAGGACCCCCCCCCCACCCCACCCCAGTGCTGTCAGCCAGGGATGCTCCCCGCAGCCCCCAGCACCTTGCAGAAGGGATTTGGGCCTCGCCAAGGTCTCTTTCCTTCCCAAAGTCTGCCGTGACCTCTAGCGGCCACCCAGCAAGAGCCATACCCCAAAGCAACGATTTCCCAGCGAAACATTGGGGTTGGGGGGCCTCCTGCTCCTGGAAACCCCCATAAGCAGCGATGAGCCCCCCCCCTTTCTCCCCTCCCAGGGGCACGGGCACTCACAGAGCGAGGTGCAGCGGCACGGGTCGTGCTTGTCCAGGTAGTGCTGCAGCGTGTCCCAGCCGCCCCCGACCCGCACCATGACGTGTTCCCGCAGGATCTGCACGAGGAGCAGCACCATCAGCCCCGCTTCACCCAGCACCATCGATTTGGGGGGGGTTTCATCTCCCTTTGATGTCCCACTGCGTGTTTTGTCACCCCAGGGAGGGTCTGGCCGGGGTGGGAGGCTTTTGGGAAGCTCCCTGCTCCACCTGAGCCCTTTGGGAAGCCCTCCACACCCAGGCAGGGGCTGAGCATCAGCCCCAAACAGGGTTCCCATCACCTGTAGGGCCAGCTTAGCCCCAAACAGGAGGTTTTGTCCCACACCCACAGATGGTTACATCCATGCAAACCCACACCGCGGGCCCCAGCTGCCCTATTTTGTGGATAATTATCAAAAACCCTATGTTGGCCCTGTCGGGGGATGGATTTAGGGAGCTAAACTGGGAGCTGAGGCAGGACTGCTGGTGCCCACACCCTGAAAGCCCCCCAAAAGCGGGCTCACCCGGACAAAGATGAGGGTGTCGGAGTCGCCCACGCGGTATTTCCCGTCCGATATCTTAATCATGGGGAACTGCACGGGGCAGGTGCAGCGGCTCACCAGGTGCTGGACCTGCGGGCAGCGGGGATGGCTCTCATCATCCCCATCATCCCCATAATTCCCATCCCCATTATCCCCATCCCAATCATCTCCATCATCCCATCATCCCCATCCCCATCATCCCAACCATCTCCATCCCAACCACCACCATCCCATCCATCCCCCCCCCACCCTACCATCTGGTCGAGGTTTCGGAGGTCCCGGGGTTCCCTGGGGGGCCGTGGCAGGGGGGTGTCCTTGGGGGGCAGGTGCAGCTCCTGCCGCAGCTCCTCCTCGATCTCCTCCTCCATCTGCACCAGGGTGGGGGCGCGCATGCCGAAGCGGGCGGCGCGGCGCGCCAGCTCCAGCAGGCAGAGCACGAAGTTCTTCTCGTTCTTCCGCAGCACCAGGTCCTCCGTCTCGAACATCAGGACGTCTGGGGCAGGTGCACCAGGGGACGGGGACAAAGGAGTTGTGGGGGGGGGCACAGGCATAGAGAAAACCCACCCGCGGGGGTGTTGTTTCCCCGAGGAGCACCTCTGCCCACCTCGCTGTGCCATCCCACGGATGCTGGGAGCGTGGCTGGGTGCAGAAAGGGTTGGGATAAATTCATGGGGGGGATGTTCCCCCTTGGGCATCTCCACGCGGAGATGCTGAGGCTGTTTTGTGGCATCCCAGAGCCACACACACACAGCTGGGTGTGCTGAGGACATTTCACTCCATGCCCGTGGCACTTCCCAGGCACTGCTGCTGGTGGGGACACGGGGACAGCCCCCAGGGTGCTCCCGGTCCTTATGGCCGAGATGGTGCCGTGCGTGGCAGGGCCGTGCGCCCTTGTGCCCTTCCCATTCCCATCCCCATTTTTCCACCCGAGCAAACACATCCACCACGTGCCAGCACCCTGCAAAGCCACCGCCAAGCCAGGAGGAGTTTGTGCGAGCCCAGCTTGGTGCAGAAATCCCAGCTCGGGCACTGGGGTGGCACCGGCCTTGGGCACACACGGGAAAACACCGAGGGCGATGCCAGGAGCGGCTGGAGGGGAACTGCACACCACATCCCGGGGCTGCTGGATCCCGAGGCCTTACCTTTAATCCCCATCTCCTTCCTGCACCACTGGATGAAGTTGGAGACGTTGTCCCTGGCCTGGAAGGTGCCCGGCTGTGCCGCCAGGTTGCAGGCGACACCGGCCGCGGGCAGGCGGAGGCGGCGAGCTGCGGCGGGGCAGGCACGGGCAAACTCCCCGGCAGCTTGGGCAACGTGGTTGGCGTGGGAGCAGAGCACGGCCCCCGTCTCCAGCACCTCCAGGAAGGTGCCCGCCTCGATGTCCAGGTCGTAGAGCTCCTTCAGCCACTCGGCCAGGTCCTCCTTCATGGCGCACAGGTACTGCTGGCTGGAGCGGTAGGGACGGATGCTCCTCTCCGCGGCACCCGGTGCCCCCCACATCGTGCCATAAAATCCCGGGCTGGGAGGAGGCAGAGGGAGAAGAAGGGCGATGGGGACACAGGGAGCTGCCCCAGCTGTGTCCCCAGCCCACCTCCCCACTCACCCCGTGCTGCTCGCTCTCTGCCACCAAGGCCACCAGGAGGGGGACACCGCTCGTCCCCTCGAGGGCTGGCTGCCTGTGGGGTGCCGGAGCCCTTCTGGGGTCTCAGGGCTGTGCGAGGCAGCCCCGGGAAGGGAAATGTCCCTCCTGGGCAGTGGGTGTTTTGTTTCCTTCCCAAGTGCTGCTCCCTTCTCCTTGGTGACAAGGGACTGGCTGCAAACACTCCCCGTTAACCCTCCAGCGCCTGCTGCTCCTCCGGGAGCCCCGCTCCCTCTCTGTGCCCCGGGGGTGGATTTGCCCACTAAATGTCCCCAGTTTGGGGCAGTAGAGGGCTAGAGGGCAGCTCCTCAGCACCCCAAGCCATTCACAGCCCCAAAAGAGGGGGGATTGCCCCCTCCCCATCACCCTTACACCTGCTTGCACTGCAAGGTGAAGTGACCTGGGGGCCCAGTGAGCCCTATCTTCAGGGCTCGGTGCCACCCAGCCACAGCTTTGTACCCATTTTACAGGCCCAGATGGGGGTCACTGAGACCCCCCCTTGCACGCCCACCCTCCCCATGGCAAGGAGCCTGCACAGGCAGGGAGCACAGGTACAGACAGGTACGAGGCCAATCTCAGCATGGGTGCAGCGTGAGGACCTCCGGGCACAGCACAGGGACGATGCTCGGACCAGCCCCTCCTGCACCCTCCCCATGCACACCTTGGCAAAACCCCAGGGTTTTGCAAAGTTGTAGGGCTGGGGCAGAAATCCCACGGGAAGAGCTGGTCCTGCCAGTGGCTGTGCTCCCAAACCTTCCCGTGGGGTTTCTGTGTGACCTGGAAACGCAGCGGGTAGCAGCAGAGCCACCACGGCCACCGCCTGCTCCGGGCTTTGGCAGCGAGGTGCAGCCCCGAGCCCCAAGTTTTGCACCGTGTCAGGGCTCAGCCTGCAAAAAAAAAAAAAAAACTCAATCCTCTCCCCCAGGCTTCTTCCTGAAAAAGCAAAATGAAAAAAAAGCCTTTGGGGTTTCTTTGCCCTGTGCTCCCTTGCGATCTCTGTGCTGTGAGGCCCTGAACAAGAGCCAAGCTCCTCCGCAGAGGGCACGGCGCCAGGAGCTGGGGCTTCACGGCGATCACCACGGGGCACAGCAGCGAGTGGGCACTCCGGGAATCTGCAGCCTCGCAGGGCTCCAAACCAAAAGCTGTTGCAGAGCACCCCAGCTCCGAGGTGCTGGTGCAAAAAGCAGCTCTGCCAGTGATTTCTCACACCTTGGGACTGGAAAAGTCTCTGGGGAGCTCGGGGGGTTCCTGCTGCTCAGGGACTCCGTCCTCTGCCTGCTGCTGCTGCCTTTGGTGCCATTTTGGGGGAGGCAATGCAGGAATCCCAGCTATTCCCCGGGGTGGGGAATGCGCAGCGGGCGCCTGGCGTGCCCTGCAAGCAGCCGAGGAGGAGAAAAGGAGCCTTGTGCCACAGAGGGGACGGTGACACGGCTCGGGGTGCACGCTCACCCTCTGGCCCTGCACCCTGCGGGGTGCAGGAGCTTTGGAGAGGGGCTGGAGGCACCGACCGAGGTGTCCCGAGCTCTGCAAACATCCCCACAGCACCTCCGCCGCCGCCTTCCCCTGCAGACAAAACACCGCCCGGTCAATGGGCAGCGCACGTGGGATGCCCGGCGTGTCACGGCATGAAGGAAAGCAAACAAGGGGAGCAAACAGCTCTTGCTTTCTCCTCCTGCAGCTCCTTGGCCAAGAGGCAGAGTCAGCACCCCGACGGCACGCACCCGACGCCTGCTTGGGGAAAAAAACAGCCCGGCTGGGGCAGAGCACGATGGTTTCCTGTGGACGGGGGGGACCCATGGTCCACCACCCACCCTGGGAAAAAATAATATTATTAACGCATCACAAGGCGTGGAGGAATCCTCCATAGCTTGGGATGAGGCAGGGAGGAGAGGTTCCCTGTTTTCTTCAGCATCTTGTGCTTCACAGGGCTGCATTTTGGTGAGACCGATCCCTTTCGCACAGAACCTTGGGGCAAACGGAGCCGTGCCCACCCCGGCCCCAAAGGCACACACATGCATCTTAATTCATCCCTTGCAGGAAACACGAGATTGGATTTTAAAAAAAATATGAAGGCATGGCATGAAAACAAATGGCAACAAATCCAGAGGTTGGGTTTATTTGCCACCAGGAGCCCTGGGGCTGGCTGTGAGCGATGCTGCAGCACTGCCACTCAGCACAGCCCAAAACACGGCCCCGGCTCTTTGGCAACACTGAAAAATCCCCTGAGATTTTAAGCTGTGTGGAAGGGTTCATTCACAAACGTCACAGAAAACAACCCGAAATGCTCCAAAATCTCAAATCGGAGGAGGTTCCACAGCGCTCAGCCCCGTCCTGCCTAGGGAGGGGGTTGCTGGTGTTTGCACGCACGGAGGTTGAGCCCTGGGGACCCCACGTTCCCTGGGGGCTCTTGGGGACAACTGCCTGTCCCGTTGGCAAGTGGGGGTGCAGTGGTTCGAGGTTTGTAAAAGGAACAAGGACTGTGTGGCCAGGCTGTCCTCACGAGCCTGTGTGCATGGACACATCCATCTGTCCTGCTCACCGTCTCTTGCACAGCTCAGCCTGGGCCCGTGGTTATGTCCAAATGTCTCTTCTTGTTTTAACGGGAAAACATTCTCAGTCACTTGTTTAAAAAACACCCAAGCGCTACAGCACCCATGGGCAAGGCACTTCTCTGCCTGATCGCAGGAAAACAAGAAATAAAGTAGCAACAAACAAGTCCTGGCTTGGAAGAAAGGCACAAAACAATCCTGAAAGTCATCAGAAACGGGCACAATTGCAGTCTCCATGTTTTCTCATGGGCTTTTCCTTTTTTTTTTTTTAAAGAAATGCCTCCTCCCCAGCGTCACAGCCCACCTGGCGAGGTCGGCCCTGCTGGGCTGGAGGCTGCCTGGTCCCAGCCCCATCCCCGCAGCTCGGGGACGCCGCTTCGGGACCCCGAGAGCTGTCCTGAGACAGCAGGGCCCACGCTGAGGACCGAGATGGGGCTCAGCCCCCGTTTCATCCCAGCACGCTCGGGAACGATGCTCAGGTGGTGGCGGTGGGGCTCAGAATAGGGCCTGCCCACCGTTGGCGTCCCAGCAGCCCATCCACGGCAGCTGCGTGGCCCACTTGCCCGTGGCCACCACCCGCAGCTTGGCCTGGTCGAAGCGCCAGTACCGCTCGTCCCGAAAGAAGTAGACGGAGCCGTCGCGGCGTGCCAGGGCCCCCGTGGTGCCGGGGGGGACGCCGTCCCAGTCCCGCAGGCTGCGGGGGTAGTAGGGCTCCAGGGAGAGGCTCTCCTCGCTCGCCACGAAGTACTTGGCAGCCCTTGAAGAGCACCAGGCGCCGGAGCCGCTGGAAGTAGAGGGCCGTGTCGGGGTGCCGCGGGAGCCCGCGGGCGCTGCACTTTTGGGGGAAGCCTGGCAGCAGGGTGGAGCCTTGGTAGCGCCAGCATCGGCCTCCTGGAAGAGAAGGGAGAGGGGGCAGAGCACAAAAATGTGGTGAGGGGGACACCCCGGGGGCTGATCCGTCTGTCTCGGCCACAGAGGGGCCACCCAGCCCCCCAGGTGACACGGCTGGCACCACCATGAGCACGTCCCCGTTGGGTTTCCCCATGGACCAGCATGGGAAGAAGCAGCCCCCGGGGCATGAAGATGTGGTTGTGGGGGGAAATGGGGCTCGTGGGGATGAAGTCGTTGTGCTGTGCTGCTGCCCTCATGCTGGAGGAGGGATGAGGATGAAGGGTTTTGTCCATGGGTTGGGGAGAGGCTCCAGGTTTCTCCTGCCCTGTGCCCCCTCCATCCCATCCCACCCAACACGCAGCGGGGTGGGGAAACTGAGGCAAGGTCACTCGAGGGGCTAAAGGGACAGCTGGGAACACAGCAGGGCCACCACGCTGTCCCCTAACCCCAGTGCAAACCTCACCCTCCTCCTGCACAGCAGGACAGACAGCCCCACGGCCCTCCCGGGCTGGGACAGCCAAAAACCCCGCTGCAGCCAGAGGGATTGGGGCCAGCCCCGGCGCCCGCCCTCCCCGCGGAGCCGTGGCACTGCTCTGCCCCAGACAAAAGCCCCTTTCTGCTCGCAGGCCGTGCCGGGTCAGGCCCCGCGGAGGGGGGCTTTTGGCTCTCCCCCAGCCGGAGCAACAAAGCCCCCTTTCTGACGGGCTGGAGAGTGGTTTCCATGAAAAGCTCGGGCTGACCCCGGTGTCCTGGCTGCCTGGGCTGCCCTTCCTGTGCCCCGCCAGCTGTGCCACCACCGGCAGCTTGCAGATGGCAGCAAGGCACCGGGCACGGGGGGCACGAATCACGGGCACCAGCAGCTGCGCATCTCCAGAGAGCATTTTCTCCCCAAAATGCATCTGCTTTGAACCTGTGACCAGCACAGCAGCCAGGAGCCGGCACCCCCAGCACCCAGCGACACCCAGCACCCCGGCACCACACCAGGCTGGGGGTGCAGGGGCAGACCCGGACGGACAGAGCAGCACAGGACGGACAGACACCAGCCACAGCCTGCGCCTCACTGACCTTTGAAGAAGTAGAAGCTGTGGCTGAGCGGGGAGCAGGCGCAGGCGTCGATGCCGGCAGGGAGCCCGGGCCAGCGGGCGTGCAGGGGCTGGGGCTGGCTGGCGTTGCCGCTGGCTGGCACCACCCAGAAGTGGCCGCCCTTGAAGATGTACAGGTTGTCGTCCACATCTGCTGGGCAAAGGGGGCCGTGAGGGCAAGAAGCACGGTGCCAAAATCCCAAATTTGGCCCCAGCCTGCTGCCCATCACGTTCCGCATCGCCTCTCATCACCGCCACCGCCCCCAGCCCTGTGGTGTCTGGGGATGCCCACACGGGGCTGAGGATCAGAACCCTCCTGTCCCACCTCGGGGGCTTATCAGTGTGGGGAGAGGTCACTGAAATGGTGTGGGGTTTTGGGATAGGGCTCACAGACACCCACCAGCAGTCACGGCGTCGAAGAAGGAGTGGCAGTAATAGGTGCTGGCGCCCTGCCGCTGCCGGTCCTCGCCGTACAGGTCCCCGCTCCAGTCCTGGAAGTGAGTGAAGACCCTTCCTGGCAGCTGGATGGCCGAGCCCCTGGAGGGCTTCCCTGGGATGGAGCAGGGTGAATCGTGGAGCAGGGCACGGGAGCAGGTTGCTCACAAGGCTGGCGAGCCATCAGAGGGCACCAGGTGCTCTGTGTCACACAGCCTGGCTCCTATCACCCTCCGTAATAATGATGAAGACCCCTCGGTACCCCAAAAAATCACGCACCAGCTTTTCCCTGGAGCAGCCAGTACCCATCCTGCCCTCCTTGCAGCAGCCGTGAAGGGACAGGACCCATCCCCACCACGCACGGAGCCCTCACCCCCTGCACGGACCTGCTGCCATCCTGCTCCTCCCTCCCCACCGAGGTTTTGGGGAAGCGATGCTCACCGTACAAGTTCTGGATGGCCAAGATGTCATCCCAGCTGAGGACGAAGTCCTTGCTGAGCTTCTTGTAGTAGGGGGACATGAGGGCGCTCCGGGCGGGGGAGTGCTCCAGCCCCAGCGTGTGGCCGACCTCGTGCGCCACCACCACGAAGAGGTTGCGCCCCTTGCCGCTGCGCAGGGACCAGCGCTCGGCGCTGTCGAAGTGGGCTTCTCCACGGCGGGGGAAGAAGGCGTGGGCCAGGGCACCTCCTGGGGATGGGAGGGATGTCAGGGGGCTGTGGGGGCAGCACGCAGCCCCTGGTGTGAGCCCAGGGCAGGGGGGGCATGGGAGTGCTTAAATAGGCACCGATTTTGGCCCAGCGGCAGGGTTCCCAAAGGAAAACCAGCTTCCCGTGGCTATTTGTGCACCCACAAAACCCAAACCAGTTGTGCCTGCAGGATGGGGTCATGGCAGGGGGGTCTGCTTGGAGGCCACCAGCATGAGCCCACCACGAGCACCCCAACCTGGGAGCTCCCGAGCTCTGGGGCCAGGACTCGGGACCCTCCATCCCCATCGCTCACAGCGTGGGCACCTCGGGAAGAGGGCCTGGGGGAACAAACCTGGCCTCCCCCCAGCCCCGGGAAGAGCCCCCGTTGTAAAAGAGAAGCTTACGAGGGGGGAGCGACCAGCACCTGGCCCATCGAAGGCGTTGCTGAGCCCGTCGTTGTGGTCCCCGTGGAAGAAGGTGAGGCGGATGTCGGCCGGGCCGTCTCGTGCTTCCCAAAATACCAGCGAGGAGACGTTGCTCCAGAGCTCGAAGGCGGCCCGGACGGCCAGGCGCACCTCGTGCTGCGGCAGGTACGGCGGCCAGTTCACCACCCGGTACGTCAGGTGCCGCTTGTGCCACTTGCTGCCTGCGGGACGGGACGGGCTCAGCGCCACGGGAGGAGCTGGGCCACCCGGTTCGATCCCCCTGCCCTCGCCTTGTTGTGCTTCCCACGGCCAAATCCAGCCCCTGCCCAGCTTCACGCCCAGAAGAGGCAGCCCAAGGATGGGCTTTCAGGGAGGCAAAGCAAAGGAACCTCTGAAAACAGGGGGGGCAAGGGGAAAAGGATGGGGAGGATGCTGAAACTCAGGGGGAAATGAGGTGTCCGTGTACAGGGCTGGAGGTTCACCAGCCCCAAATCTCCCTGGCCTGCAGCAGCTCTTCCCTGCTTCCCCAAGCTCCCTCCCTGAACATGAGACCACCATAAGCCTCCCACCGTCCTCTGACCATGCATCGGGGCAGAGGCACATTCCCGCAGCTGCCGTGCAGCATCCTGCCCCCCCAGGACCTCCAGCAGCTGGGCTGGGGGGGCTCACATCTGGCCGGGGGCGTGCAGGAGTGGGAGAGAAGCTGCGGGGCCACGCTGGGAATACGTGGGTGCCAGAGCTGGTGCCGAGGCGTGGGAGCAGCGACAGACCTCCGGCACCTGCGCCTGCTCCAGACGGGTGGGGAAGCCACAGGATGGGGTTTCACAGCGCTCTGCAGACACCCGGGGGCAGCTCTGGCAGCCCCCTGCCAGCGTCCCCTTCT